TTATTTCAGCTAACCAAGCAAATAAGCTATTAGAAACTTTTTTTAACTCTCTGAGCTGAAACATTAAATGCAGAGTCCCTACTTAGTGGCCCCAAATCAATAAATTCAGCCTGTTGCCATTCTGTGTTTTTTCCACCATTATCCCACACCCTTAATATCCATTCCTATGCCTGCTCTTCAGATTTCTGTTTATATAAATTAGAAAACTCAAGCAGTTCTTTTTGAGTGTAGCACACTTCCTCATGGGTCACGCTCTGAACCTGACCTCTAGGGGCCCACCAGGACGTTAATCTAGTTTTAGATCTAGAAGCAAACAGGGTGTTTGCGGTGGCTCCTGAGGAGAATCAGCATTATCTTGCCTGGCAGCTGCCTCAGGGGAGGCCATCACTGTTGCCTCAGGCATCACAGGGTTTGTCTCCTCAGACAAAGGGAAAAAGGCTGATAGTAGCATGGGTTGGGGACCAGATGTTGCCGCTATCCTCAGGGATTGGAAAGCTGTTTCTTCTGGCAAAAAAAAGTTCATCAGAGTTTACAAATTTAGTGTCCCCAGCTTCGTCAGGGTCCTCCCACAGTTCCCCATTCCAAGCTGCAGGGTCCCATTCTTTTCCAATTAATGCCCTCACTTTAACAGCAGACACCTGGTGAGGCTGTGCATGCACCTTTCATTGTAGGTCAGCCACTCGCATGATAAGATCTTGTGTCTGATTATCCACAATTTCAGCTTTTTCTCTACAGGAGGTAAGACTTACTCAGGGCAATCTTAGAAGATCTGAGGCTCAGTATCTATCTGCTTCTGAAGCTGAGAATTAGAATCCCTGAGTTTATCATTTTCTTTTATCACTTTGGCCAGTGAATGTAAGAGCAACCAACCAACTTCATTGTGTTCCTTGATTCTCCACATATGGTCAAAGGTATTATGTAGAGTCACTGAACTCCTTGTCTCTCATGAGCAATGATTCACAAATGTCAAATGCATTTATTTTGCATAACTCTCTAAACCATTCACACCAAGGACTATCAGTGTGCTTCATACTATTGGAAGTAGAGTCCTTAGCATTTTTGGGTTTAATCATATTAAGCAGCCAACTCCAGAAACGCCAAAACCAACTAATGAACTCCATCTTTAATATTCTGTTCCTCGGCTGAGTGCAGTGGCTCATGTCTGTAATCCCAGAAGTTTGGGAGACCGAGGTGGGCAGATCATGAGGTCAGGCGATCAAGACCATCCTGGCTAACATGGTGAAACCATATTATGCAGCCATCAAAAACGATGAGTTTGGGTCCTTTGTAGGGACATGGATGAACCTGGAAACCATCATTCTCAGCAAACTGACAGAAGAGCAGAAGATCAAACACCGCATGTTCTCACTCATAGGCGGGTGTTGAACAATGAGAACACATGGACACAGGGAGGGGAGCACTACACACTGGGGTCAGTTGGGGGGAAATAGGGGAGGGACGGTGGGGGGTGGGAAGCTGGGGAGAGATAGCAAGGGGAGAAATGCCAGATGTAGGTGATGGGGAGGAAGACAGCGAATCACACTGCCACGTGTGTTCCTATGCAACAATTTTGCATGTTCTTCACATGTACCCCAAAACCTAAAATGCAATAAAATAAATAAATGGGAAAAAAAAAATAAATAAAAAAAATAAAATAAAAAAAGTAACCAGGTGTGGTGGCATGCACCTGTAGTCCCAGCTACTCAGGAGGCTGAGGCAGGAGACTCGCTTGAACCTGGGAGGCAGAGGTTGCAGTGAGCTGAGATTGTGCCACTGCACTCCAGCCTGGGTGAGAGAGTGAGACTGCATCTAAAAAACAAATTATATTTCTCTGGAACTACTTCTGATACCAAAATCTGTATTAGTCAGGGTTATTTAGAGGGACAGAACTAATGGAGAGAGAGAGAGAGAGAGAGAGTGAGTGAGTGTGTGTGTGTGTGTGTGTGTGTGTGTGTGTGTATAATAGGGAGTTTATTAAGTATTAACTCACAGATCACAAGGTCCCACAATAGGCTATCTGCAGCTGAGGAGCAAGGAGAACCAGTCCGAGTTCCAAAACTAAAGAACTTGGAGTCCAATGTTTGAGAGCAGGAAGCATCCAGCATGGGAGAAAGATGTAGGCTGGGAGGCTAGGCCAGTCTCTTTTTATGTTTTTCTACCTGGGTATATTCTAGCCTTGCTGGCAACTGATTAGATTGCACACATCCAGATTAAGGGTGGGTCTACCTTTCCCAGCCCACTGACTCAAATGTTAATCTCCTTTGGCAACACCCTTAAGGACACATCTAGGATCAATACTTTGTATCCTTCAATCCAATCAAGCTGACACTCAGTATTAACCATCACAACTACTTTAGACCTTCATGAAAGTAGAATTATACATTATTTTTCTTTTTGTAACTGTCTTATTTCACTTAGTGTTATGTCCTTAAGGCTCATCCATGTTGTTTAATGTGACTAAAGCTAAATAATATTCTATTTTATGTCTATACTACATTTTGTTTATTCATTCATTCATCCAGTGGACATTTGGATTGCTTCCACCTCTTACCTATTAAGAATTAGCACTGTTAGGAACATGTGTATATAAATATCTCTTTGAGACTCTGCTTGCTTTTGAATATGTACCCAGAAGTAAGATCATATGGTGACTGTATTTATAAGTTTTTACAGAATGTCTATACTGTTTTCCATAAGGATTATACCATTTTACAGTCCCAACAACAGTGTACAAGGGTTTCAATTTGTCACATCCTCACCAACACCTGTTTTTTATTTTTTTGATAGTAGCTATCCTAATGGGTGTGAGTTGATAATTTCATTGTGGTTTTAGTTTGCCTTTCTCTGATAATTAGTGATGTTGAGCATCTTTTCATATGCATGTTAGCCAATTTGTATATCATCTTTGGAGAAATGTTTATTCAAGTCCTTTGTCCTTTTTTTTTTTTTTTTTTGAGATGGAGTCTAGCTCCGTCGCCCAGGCTGGAATACAGTGGCGCAATCTCGGCTCACTGCAACCCCCACCTCCCAGGTTCAAGCCAGCCTCCTGCCTCAGCCTCCCAAGTAGCTAGGATTACAGGTGCCTGCCACTGCGCCTGGCAAATTTTTTGTATTTTTAGTAGAGATGGGGTTTCACCATGTTGGCCAGGCTGGTCTTGAACTCCTGACCTTGTGATCCACCCACTTGGGCCTCCCAAAGTGCTGGGATTACAGGGATGAGCCACCATACCCGCCCCTTTGTCCATTTTTAATATGATTAGTTTGGTGTTATTTTTGTGCTGCTTTTGTCATTTCAGATTTTTTCGTGTGTTTCCTTTTGGATAGTTTCTGTTGTTATGTTTTCAGATTTACTTCTGCAACATCTATGCTGGTAGTATTCCTATCCACTGTTTTTTTAATCTCAATGTATAGTCTTGAAATTGTAGTTTTCATCTTTAGGAGTTTGATTTTAGTCTTTTTATATCCTAACTTTTGGAACATGTAGAATATAGTTGTAATAACTGTTTTAGTGTTCTTCTCTGCTAATTCTAACAACTGTATCAGTTCTAGGTCATTTTGATTGATTGATTATTATCCTGATTGTGAGCTATGTTTTACTGCCTCTTTGTGTGCTTAGTAGTCTTTGGTTGGATGCCCAACTTTGTGAGTTTTACCATGTTAGTTGCTGGATGTCTTTACATTCTTGAACCTGGTTTTGGTATACAGTCAAGTTCATTTGAGGACTTGCTTTTGTAACTTGGGTCTGGAGCAGTATTTTGTCAGTCTAGGACTGGTTTTTATTCCCTACTGCTCAGATAAGATCATTCTGAATACTTTACCTAATGTTCTGTGGATTATGAGTTTTTCAAGTTTGATTGTTGGGCGTAAGGACTAATATTCCTGGAGCTGTGTGAACTCTAGTCAGCGTTCCTCTTATTTTGGATGGTTCTCTCCCTAGCCTTAGGTTATTCCATTGCGTACATGCACCAATCAGTGCTCTGCTGTATACCAGGAGATTCTCTGCTCATCTCTGGGGTGTTGTCTCTGGGCAGCTCTCTTCTTTCTGATACTTTGTCTGGTGAACTCTAATTGCCTTTGTCTCCTTGCACTCTTAACTTCATCTCTTCAATTCATAGAGCCCATCAGGCTTCACTTCAGTTTCCCTGCCCTGTGCCACTGCCTGGAACCTTCCAAGGCAGTAATCCCTGGCAGTTATAGGGTTTACTTCACTTGTTTTCCATCTTTTAAGGAGCAGTGCCTTGTGTTGCCTGGTGTCCAGTGTCTTGAAAACCATCATTTCTTGTATTTGTCTGATTTGTGTACTTTTTAACTTTTTAAATGTTTTTGGTGGTTTATGGTGGGAGGGCAAATTTGGTCCCTGTTACTCTGTTTTGGCCAGAAGCAGAAGCCCTGTTTACTTGTAGTTTTAATCTAAAAGAAAACTGTTGTGCTAGATTCTTACAGAAAAACTGTTTGTTTTTTTGTTTTGTTTTGTTTTTTGTTTGTTTGTTTGTTTGTTTGTTTTTTGAGATGGGGTCTTGCTCTGTCACCCAGGCTGTGGTGCAGTAGTGCAATTTCAGCTCAGTGCAGCCTCCTCCTCCTGGGTTCAAGTGATCCTCCCACCTCAGCCTTCTGAGTAGCCAGGGTTGCAGGCCTGTGCCACAACTGCCTGGCTAAATTTCTGTCTTCTTAGTAGAGATGGGTTTTTACCATGTTGGCCAGACTGGTCTTGAACTCCTGGCCTCATGTGATCCACCTGCCTTAGCCTCTCAAAGTGCTGGGATTACAGACATGAGCCACCATGCCCGGCCCAGGAAAACTCTTTTAATAGTAGCTATTGCTCATTTCCCTTTGAAAGGAGATAAATCAGCCAGCAGAAATTTTTGAAGATATTCTTGGGGTATTAAACTGACTTCTCGACTCCTTTGTTGCTGGGAATTTCTTGAGTTATTTGGATAAAGAAGCTAATTTTAAATAAGAATTTTATGAAATTCTTAACCATATTATGATTTTATTCTCAGAATTAAGAAAAAGAGAGAGCAAGAACGTTATGCCGAAGAGCAGAGGATCCTAAAAATGAACTTTCATGAAGAACTGTATTCAGGAGAGAAGATGAGTGAGATATTAGCTCAGTTACAACTTGAAGAGATCAAAGGAGCCAGAGAAAAACAACAACAGAGAGAAAAAGAATACCTGAGGTAATTTGAAAAGGTCTTCATGATATTCTAGCTCTAGAGGAGACTTGGTAGAAAGTCATTGTTCTCATTTTTCTTAAAAGAGAATGGACTGTGTCTTCTCATACTTTTGCTCATTTAGGAATTCATAATGTCATCAAATTTTTTGATTGCCTAATACTTCTCAGGGGTAGCCCTGCATTTTCCCCAGTGCTTTTTCCCAGTTCAAAGAGGAAGAGTCAAGACCCAGAGACATTGAATAGATTTAACAGTTAAAGCGGGCTGTACAATCAGGGTTCATGCTCACTCTCTTTCTAGTAGATCACTTTGCCTAATCATACTTTATTTTTACAGATATGTAGAAGCTTTACGAGCCCAAATCCAGGAGAAAATGCGGCTGTATAATGTCACTTTACCTCCACTATGCTGTTGTGGTCCTGATTTTTGGGATGCTCATCCTGATACCTGTGCCAACAATTGTATTTTCTATAAAAACCACAAAGGTAAGTTTCTTGAAGGAATCGTCAGGACCTAATAGCAATAAGAAAAATCAATAAAAGTAGTGATATTAGTAATTTACCATTTATTGAATGCTTACTATGTATCAGAGACTGTTATAAACCCTTTACAAAATAGCTATATGAGGCAATGAAAATAATTACAATTAGTTATAGTTCTCTTTGAGATCTATTATCTTCGTCTGTTATCTTTTCAGCTTATTCTACTGTAGGAGGACTTGAGTTCCGGGTCGTTTAACTGAAGACTATTAGAATTTGCCTTTTATGTAAGTTAGGACTCTATCTAGTTGAATTCCCTGTTAGCCAAATACTTTAATGGTATGTAACATGGATGTATTACCATATATAGCCACATTCGATTGCTAGTTCTGCCAGGAGGCACTGAGGCAAATAAGAAACAATATAAACTTTATCAGGAGTCCCAGCTAGAGAAAACTTAGCTGTTCATATTGTCATTAATATTTCTGTTTCCTGTCCATCCTTAAATATATTGATTTATATAGTGTCCAGATTATGTAGCCCTCATGCATACAGTAGAAATACTGCCAGTATATATATTCCTAGTGCTTCATCTTTATGATATGAGTTTCTTACCAGCTTTCTTTTTAAAAACACAAATCTAATTATGCCATTTCCCTATTCTAAAACCTCTAGGGCACTCCATTGCAGTATAAGACGCATGACATATTTGGTGTATTTTCTCTCTGGCTCCAGGCCCTACTCTAGCCTTATGATAGTTACCGTATTTTTTACTCCTTTTATACCTCACACACTCAGTTCTGTGTTCTTTCCTTTACTCCTGTTATTTCTTCACAATTCATCTTTAATGTTACCACTTCTGGGAATCTTTTTCATCCTGTCCTAGGTAGTTGTACATTCATTCTCAACTTCATTCTGTGATGACATTTTGTTTTTTGGGGTTTTCTTTTTTGAGACAAATTCTTGCTCTATTGCCCAGGCTGGCATGCAGTGACACCATCTCGGCTCACTGCAACCTCTGCCTCCTGGGTTCAAGTGCCTCAGCCTCCTGAATAGCTGGGATTACAGGTGTGCACTACCACATCCAGCTAATTTTTGTATTTTTAGTAGATATGGGGTTCCACCATGTTGGCCAGGCTGGTCTCGAACTCCTGACCTCAAGTGATCTGCCCGCCCTAGCCTCCCAAAATGCTGGGATTACAGGCGTGAGCCACTGTGCCTGGCCTATGATAATATTTTGTATATGCCTCTGGTTTGGAAGTATTACATGGCAACTTAATTATTTTTGTGTCCATACTCTTCATTATCTTTTCTGTCCTCACAGAGTGTTTGTCATAATAAGTAGTCAATAAATATTTATTTGATGGATAGCTAAAGTTAATACTTGAGAGACTCTTGGTAGAGAAGCAATACTAATAAGATAGAGGCCAGTAGAGTTGTTTAGAATTTGACTTTATTCATTGCTGTGCAAACCTTCTTTTGCAGCATATACTCGGGCACTGCATTCAGTCATCAATTCCTGTGATGTCTCTGGGGGTAACCCAACTCTTCGAGCCGCAATTCATAATTTTGCTTCTGCACACAGACGGACTTTGAAAAATCTGTAGTAGGAATCTGAAATTAACTGGTAGTATTTTGACTTTTATTTAAAATCAACCCTGAGAGATTATTTAAGAAAAGCTGTTCAAGTGTGTAAAATGTATAATCCGGAAATACATAATACTGTCTCATATAATAACTGTCTTTATAATTGTAATCATTGTTTTAATCTCTACCTTGGAACCAAGATTGAAATTCGACTTGCTCATCTCTTCTTTCTTGTGAACCATATGGATCCTATTATTTTAAAACATGATCAGACAAGTAAGGCTTCTTTCACTTTGCTCTGGTCTGATCAGAAGAGCTCATGTGAAATCTCTGAGATTCTCTCAGTTTTCATCTTTCTAAAACTGTATTTTTGAGCTTGACAGTACTGAAAATGTCTGAATGAAGCAGAAAAGAAAGTGATGAAATGTGTTTCTGAGCATCAGTGGCCATCTATACTGCCATTAGCTTTTCTATTTGCATATAAGAATTAGAGATTAGAAGAATTTAAATTTGATGCACGTTTTTCTCTCAAAATTTTTTCTCTCGTTTTTTATAATTTATTGCCACTTTCCTCATTCAGTGACACTGTTGCCTCTTTCCTCATTCATTGACACTGGACATAGGAATTTTTAATTGTGTAATTTTCTTTTGCAGAAAAGGTAAATAAATCCTCTGTCTTTTGAGTATCTTTGATGTGAAGTAATTGTGACATTTGAAAAGTGAATCTCAAGTCAGAGTAAGTAAATTCCTTACTTCCTTTTTTTTTCCCTTTTTTTTTTTTTTTTTTTTTTTTTTTTTTTTTTT